TCTGGCGGGGAATATGCTTACATCCTAGAACATGTGGATATGAGGAGTGATATCAGGGAGCCGGTCCGAGCCGTACGCGAGCTAGTGGAAGCAGAATTGGGAAGGGGAGTGAGTTGTGACGGGGCACAGAAGGGGGCAAGGTGTCATAGAGTGCGGCAGTACTGGCAGAACGTCCTGCCAGAAGGAGAACTGAGGGCGAGATTCGCAAGGGTGGAGAGAGATGAGAGCCGAATTGTGGAAGACATCCTGGAACCAGGGAGAGTGGCCGCCCCAGTAGTAAAGCCAGATCATCCGCGACAGTATCAGTGTAATCGAGTGGGGGAAGCAAGGAGGGCCTGGCCGACACTGGTGGCTCACGCAAAGGCACGGGGATTTGTCGAAGTGGAAGGGACTCCAGGTCCAGGGATGGTGTACGATCACCGTAAGAAAAGATGGGAGGAGCCGACGGCATTGGAGCGGGAATTAGCCATGGGGTACCTGCCGGGGGCAACAGCAGCAGACGGAGTGGGGGAGGAGGTGCGCAAAGCTGCCTTGGGCAGAGCCATAGACCAGCACTCGCTGCGATGGCTAGTTAGTGAGATGAGAAAGGGGCCAGCCGAGAAAAGGGGAAAGACGGAAGAGGAGAAGGGCAGGGGCGGCAAGCAAGCTACTTACACCGTTGTCAGCAAGCTCACAGACGAGAAGGAGATCGATACTGCACCACCAGTAGGCAAGGAAGCAGAGCCGGACAAAACCTGGGAGCTGGGGGCAGGTATAGGGGAGCAAGCAGCTGAAGCAATCAAGGAGGTGTTGCAGCAGCATAGGGGCACCTTCGCCTATAACCTGCAGGAATTGGGGAGATACAAGGGGAGAGAGCTAGAGCTGAACCTCACGACCGAGCTACCTACATACCAACGCAGGAGGCGAATGAATGCGGAGGATGCAGCCATCTGCAAAGAGAAATGTGAGGAGTTGCTAGCTGCAGGGATTATTCGCCCTTCAGAATCAAGTTACGCGGCGGCCACGGTGGTAGCTGCTAGGAAGGACATCACGGGAAAGATTCTAGCGAAGCGGATGTGCGGGGATTTCCGGGAGCTGAACAAGATTACAAGCCCTGACAGATACCCTATGTCGACTGCTGAAGACATTTTCGACCGGCTGGAAGGGGCCACCGTTTTTACCACCTTGGACCTGCGGCAGGGCTTCAATCAGATAGGCATTAGAGAAACAGATAAACGGAAAACTGCATTTCACGGGGTGGACGGGTTGTATGAGTACAACGTTATGCCTTTCGGGCTTCGTAACGCACCAGCAGTGTTCCAGAGAGCCATGGATCAAGTGCTAAAGGGGATTCCAGCTGCCGCCTGCTACATTGATGACGTGTTGATTTACAGCAGCAGCAAAGAACAGCATGTGCAAGATCTGAAGCAGACTCTAGAGGCAATAGCAGCTGCAGGGCTGACGTGTCACTCAGATAAGTGTAAGATGGCGAGGCACACGGTGGCCTACCTGGGGTTTGAAGTGAAGGGCGGTCAGCTGGCCATACAAGAGGCGAAGGTTAAGGTGCTGGAGAACCTGGCAGCGCCAAAGGACAAGACAGGGCTGCGGGCGTTACTCAGCTTCCTGAATTATTACAGGAAGTTTGTATCAAACTTCAGTCGCCGCGCCTACGTGCTGAACCAGCTGCTGAGGGAAGGGAAGAGCTGGCAATGGGGAGAGGTGGAGGAGGCAGCAAGGCAGGACTTGCTTGAAGCAGTTAGGACAGGGACCTTACTGCAGATACCGAGGGCAAAAGCGCCTTACATCCTGTACACGGACTGGAGCAGTACGGGAATGGGAGCGGTGCTCTGCCAAGAAATCGAGGGAGAGGAAAGAGTGATAGCCTTTGCTAGCCGCAGCTGCAGCCCATCCGAGGCTAACTACTGCTCATACGAGGGAGAGGGTCTGACGGCAGTGTGGGGAATCACGCATTTCAAGGTATACCTGCAGGGCCGGCACTTCACATTAGTGACTGATCATCAGCCACTGCTATGGTTGATGACTAATCAAGAGCTGACGGGAAGAAACGCTCGATGGGCTATCAAGTTGCTGGGATTCGACTTTGAGATCCGGCACCGACCGGGTAAAACACTGCAGCATGCAGATGGGCTGTCAAGGAAACCACCACCGATGCAGCCGGTAGCGCAGCTGGCGGCGTTAGCCCACGCCGTGGCCGTGACCTGGGGGCAGGAGAAGGGAGAGAAGCGGTTAGCAGATATATGGGAGGACGAGGAGACCATGAGCTGGATCAAAGGGGAGCCACTGGAGGAGGAAGGCGTTAGTGAGAGAGCAAGAGCCAGAGGGCAGCATTACAGATGGTTTCAGGAGCGGCTGCAGCTGAGGACCAGCGAAGGATGGAGGGTAGTGCCGCAGCCGCAAGAGAGGAACAGGATCATGGGGAAGGTACATGCAAAGCTAGGACATTACGGCATCACCAGGACACGGCAGCTGTTGAGCACAATGTACTGGTGGGCAAGCATGGGGAAGGATGTGGCAGGACTGGTAGCCAGCTGCGAGGCTTGTCAAAGGAATAAAGCAAGGCTGGAAAAGGAGAGGGAGGAGCTGAACTCACTACCGATTCAGGGGTTAGGTTACAGGTGGTCGCTGGACCTGGCAGGAGAGTTACCATTATCAAAAGGAGGGAAGCAGTACATTCTGATCATGGTTGAGCACACGAGCAAATGGGTGGAGGCGCGGGCATTACCAAGCAAGAGTAGCGCACTGATAGTGGACGCATTCGAGGAGTTAGTACTGACCAGGTACGGGGCATGTGGAGAGGTGCTTACTGATCAAGGGACAGAGTTTCAAGGGAGCTTTGATGAGCTGCTAGAAGAGATGGGCATCACGCATCGTGTCACCTCAAGGTATCACCCTCAATCGGACGGGCTGACAGAGAGGCTCAAACAAACCGTGAAGAAAGGACTTCGGGCATATGGAGACACACTCAAGAGGAGTTGGGACAGGGATCTCTGGTGGGTGCTTGCAGGATACCGGTTTGCGAATCAGGCAGCGCTGAAGCATCTGTCCCCGTATCATCTACTGTACGGACGGGACCCGGTGCTACCGGTGGATGCACCGAAGCTGCTCTCGGCGACAATTGAAGCGGACGAGCCGAGCCTGTGGGCGGGATTAGCGGAGAAGAGGGCGAGGTATCTGAAAGAGCTGACTCCAGCTGCCTTGGATAATCTACACGTGGCGCAACTGAGGGATGCAAGGCGGTACCAGCAGCGCAAAGCAGGAGGGATGGGAGGAAAGAGTGACAAAGTGGAAGCGGGGCAGGAGGTGTACCTGCGCAGGGCTAAGCGAGATACTCTGGACTTAGCTGTGGGACCGGAGCGATGGAGGGTGAAAGAGGTAAGGGAGTCGGGGGTGCTAGTACTGGAGGATGATCGAGGGAAGTACATGAAGGAGCATATCACCAACGTGGCCAGGGCGGGAAGGGAGAAGCCTCAGGCATTGGATCCCGTATCTGGAGCAGCTCGGGTGCGTGCTCCGTCACGGGAGGGGGCAGGGAAGCCTGAGATACGAGGAGGGGATCAGAACAGAGTGATTACATACGTCAGGAGGAAGAAGGGATGAGCCGGTCACCTGGATGAGAGGCGAAGGGAGAGGGAGGAGGAAGTCAGGCAGGGATTCAAAGGAGAGTGAGAAGGAAGGGACAGCAGAGGGGGATTCACGACAGCTGTCGCGTTATTAACACTTAGCTGGCAACTAAGTGTGAATTCCACAGCAGCCAAGGTGAGGTGTACTATAGTTTACTGCTTTTTGCATTTTACTTTGTTTGCTCTTTTTGGAATGTTACTGTACTATACAGAGTCGAGCTACTGAGGAGTTCGAGGGGGTTGGTGAGGAGGATGAGGGCGAATTCGATTCCAGCCATCCTGGGAATTCAATTCGACATTCACAAGCTGGAAGGCGGTGCATGCCTAGTGGGCCCAGTGGGACCCAGCTAGCACCTTGAAGCCTACGCGATCAGCTCGGCTGACTCTCGCTTAGGAGTAGAGGTAGCTTGCGGGACAAGGCACCTAGGCAGGAGAGGATGTAGACGGAAGTAGCGCTCAGACTCATTGCTTTTTGCTTGTATGTTTCTCATTTACTGCAATTGTGCTTTCCTAATCCACGGGGAACTAGCAGTAGAGATGAGCTGAAGTAAATCGGCGGAGCCCTTGCGAGGGAGATAAGCCTTGTAACTCATCCTCGCCGGAAGCCTGAGATACGAGGAGGGGATCAGAACAGAGTGATTACATACGTCAGGAGGAAGAAGGGATGAGCCGGTCACCTGGATGAGAGGCCAAAGGAGAGGGAGGAGGAAGTCAGGCAGGGATTCAAGGGAGAGTGAGAAGGAAGGGACAGCAGAGGGGGATTCACGACAACCTTCTTGTCTTGAGAAGGCGCAGTGCCACTGCCTGCCCCTGCTGTAGTGTGGCCAACTAACCACCTCTGCCTGTATTGGTGGGACAGCCTGACGTCCTTTTTGAGCCTCCAACAACGGATGTTACCAGTTATCCAGCAACGGATGTTACCAGCTATCCAGCAACACCATATCCGTGTGACTTTTGAGAATTCTCAAGAGCTATCCAACAACACCATATCCGACAACATCTCCACCACCCTGAGGGAGCTCGTCATGTGGAAACCCTGTGAGTGAGCGGTGCATTTATCGAATGTGCGTGAGGGGGAGTGTGATGTGCAGGTGGGTGCCCTGACTACTGAAGCCGCTGTGCGATTCAGCGGTTGTGAGGATTCTAGGGTCTACTGAAGCCGCTGCTTTAAAAGCTGTTGCTTTCTGCTAGCTGTCCCCTCACTCAGTGCCTTCTGTCGCCCTCTTCCGACCTCTGTCCCCCACCTGAAAGGTACACCCGTCAGGCAGCTCTCAAGCAACGACTCATCATGGGGCGTCTCAAATCGTGATCATTATCTCGTGGATTCATTAACTCAGTGCCCTGCTTTCTGTCTGCCCACATGCATGGCCCACTGTTCAGGATCCTTTCAAACAACAACCTCACAGGCACTATCCCCTCTTCCATCTCCAATCTCTTCTGGCTCTCTTCTCTGTATGTGCCCCCGTCTCCCCCCCTCCGTACATTGGACCTCTCCTCTCTGCACGTCCTTTCCGCTCTGCACGTCTGCCACCTTTGCACCTGCAACTGCTGTGCCTGCCACTGTGGAGGGGAGGTTAAAGGGGTGGCAGGAGTGTGTCTGCAGCGCCAGCTTCCCCCCTACCGCTGCATCCATTGCTCTCTGCTTGTATCTTCGCCAGTACTGGACTTCCAGGGTCGCCACGTGAAAGAAGAATGCTTTTGAGACGCCTAAAAAACAATTCTCTTTCGCGTGAGTTCCAAGCCTGGCTCCACCAAGGTTGCAAAACAGTCCCCCGGGAAAAGGATTCCGTCCGGGCCTCCCACGGGCGGGTTTTCAGACTGGGCAGCCATGTTTAGCTTGGTGAGGTAGCTCACCGGCTGCCCTTGTTGCAAAGCAACCGACCAGCGCTGCCGGACCTGGTCGAGCAGTTTCGCGGTCTGTTCCGCTCCCTCCTCTTGCGCCTCCCTCCTCCTTCCTTAACCTTCCCCCGTTTCTCTCGTTATTTATTCCTCTCCTTCCTTCCTTCCCCCCTCTTCCCCCTGGTTATCTGCCAGGAGGCTTGACGGCAATGCATTGGAATCTCCTATCCCTGAAAGCTTGAGTGCTATGGAATATTTACGCATTTTGTGAGTTGTGCTCCAGTACTTGATGTGATGTGTATGGCATGCCTTAGCAAGCAGAGAGGCATGAATCGTGAGACACGTAAGCTGTAGGTGGTGCATGCAAGCCCACCGGCCTCTCTAGTGTGTGCGTGCACGGGAACACTCACGTTAGAGACACGCGTGCAGTTTGGATGGATACGCATGGGAGCAGTGGTTTGTAGGGTAGTTAGCTAGCTAGCGGTCGAAATTTCGCAAAAATCCAACTGGGGCGTTGTGTTGTGAAGCGAGTGGTGGCACTAAGACAACGGTCATTTTTAGTGCATAAGTGCACCACACTGAGGCGACTCAAAAAGCTTCTCTTGGTGCTGAAGTAACCTTTGGGTCGACCCAAACGCTTTGAGGATCCCAAAGGGCTTCTCCTAGAGCTGGCGTGCACTGATGGCACTGATGAGTTTGGGAAAGGGAGTATGTGGGCATGGGGTGACAGTGTGACAGTGAGGGCATGGGGTGCTGTCAGATATGTGTGAGTATGGGATGATTCCGAGAGTATGTGGGTATGGAGTGACCATTGGAGGGCTAGCTGTGTGAACAGGGGAAGAAGAGAGGCTAAAGCAGTGACTATTGTCCCAGCCCAGTGCCTGAGAGCCGTTCCTCATCCCCTTCCCCCCATCTCGTCCATCGCTTCGTTGTATCGCCCACCTGCCTCTGTTGACCTCGTCAGGGATGTGAGCAAGAACAAGTTTTCAGAGGACATCTCGACTTTCAGCTGCGTGCAATTGGAACACATGTGAGCACATGAGGTCATGCGAGTACATGAGTGCATGTGACTGTGTGAGTTGTTTGTTTTGCGGCTCGTTAGAGCTGCGAGCATGGCATTACGTGAGCATGTGATTGTCTTTCTGTGTGCATCCAAGATTCCACCGCACCTCCGCCCCTCCCCTCCCCCACCATCTGTCTTCCCAAACCACCTCATCTCCTCGCCTCCATTACCCCACCATCCATATCTTCGCAGGAAGCTGAGCAACAATAACATCACAGGCAGCATCCGTTCTTCCATCACCTCCTTCGATTTCCTCACCTACCTGTATGCCTCCGTCTCTCACACACCTATGCACTTCACTTGCACATGCACCTGCGTGTCTCACTCAAAACAAGAGGGTGGTATTATATTCTGCAAAAAGACTTGTCGAGTGAGTAACAGGGCCAAGTCCTGAACGAGGCTACATGGGGGTGGGGCAGCTCTTGCGTTGGTAGGTACAAGCATGTGGGAGTCCCACAGGCAATTCACTCCACGGTTACTCTCCATACCCTCACGCTGTGTGGTGCTGGTGCTGGTGACAGCCCAGCTTCAAGGGCTTTGAAGGGCGTTTCTGAATACTCGTGCCCCTGTGTTGAATATTGGTGGCTGCAATGCAGTTTGAAAAGGACAGAGTGTCATCTTCACCTTATTTCCCCTCCCCTCCTTTTCTCCCTCCCTCGCCCTCATCCCCGATTGTCCCTTCCACCAGTGATCTAAGCTACACGTTGCTAACCGGCAACATTCCTACCGTCATCACCAAAATGCAAAACCTCTTGCGCCTGTAATCCTGACTTGGGAAAACAAGATGGGACGTTATGCATCCTGGGAACAGAATGCATGTGTAACATGTGCAAGGCTTTACAAGAAATTGAGGCGCACCTCAAAACTCAAAAGGCGCCTCTCCTCTCTTTTCTTCCTTGAGCGTCAAGGCCAGCCCCTGTTGTCTCTAACTTACTTTAATATCTTTCATGCCTTTCATTCACCCTTTCTCACCACATGGTCTCATTTGCCCCTTGCATCGTCCTCTTCTCCTGCTGATCGCACCTCTCCTCGTGACCATCCTCCTGTGGTTCATCCTTGCTGCTGCACCATGCCACCATGAACCCTAACACATGCCACCATGAACCCACACATGCCACCATGCATCATAACACATGCTATGCAACCCAACACATGCCATCATGCACCCTACCACATGCCGCCATGCACCCTAACACATGCCGCCATGCACCCTAACACGTGCATCCATGGATCATAACACATGCTATGCAACCCAACACATGCCATCATGCACCCTACCACATGCCGCCATGCACCCTAACACATGCCGCCATGCACCCTAACACATGCATCCATGGATCATAACACATGCTACCATGCATCCTAACACATGCCTCCATGCACCATTCCCTTTGCCACCATGCACATTGCTATCCATGGCCACCACTCCCCCAGTGACCTGCGCATACCAACACTCACGGGCTCCATCCCGGCCTCCATGGGCGCCATGCTCAATCTGCAGTACCTGTCAGTCACTCTCCCCTCTCTTTTCTCTCTCTCTCTCTTGTCAGCTGCCCCTCTCTTCCCCCCTCTCCAACCCTCTTTTCCGCATCTCATTCACACACGTGCCCTCAAGTCCGCAATATGGCCTGTCGTCTAAACTCCTCCCTATTGTGATTGCCACTCTTGCCTCACCACGAAGCTGCATCAATTCCCCGCTGCTACCTCCTCGTAGCTTTGACATCTGACCTCTGCTTAACCCCTGCTTGCCGTTCCATATTTCCATCCTAGAAGACCTAAACCTACTATCATTCCAAACCCTTCCCTGCCGGCTCCCCTTCCCCTCCACCTCCTCCCCCCTTTCTTCCTCCTGCTTGGTCTCGCTGTCTGGCAGTTATGTCAATCACAATGCGACGCCATGCGGTTACGGGGAGTGCGAGGTGGTGCAGTACTCCGGCACAGCCTTCTGCCGTGCCTGCACTGACTTCTGCGACTCGTGTGATCGCAAGGGTAAGGAGGAGGGAGAAAGTGACAGAAGGGAGGTGGGTAGGAGGGAGAGTCGGACAGTGGGGATGTGAGATTGTTTGAGGTATGTTTTGTGAGGCACCGTATCCGTCTCCACACACAGCCTCATGAATCCATTTACATCACACCCACCCTGTCCTCCCCTCCTCTCCTACTGCCCTGCCAACAGCCCTCAACCCTGATAAGTGCCGGAAGAAGCGCCGTGCCTGCTCGCGCAAGTCCTGCCCGGGTCACATCTGCATTCCCTTCGTCCGCAGCTGAAAGGGCTATAAGTGCATCTGATTCACACAAAGGCAACATGTGCATGTGACTCACATGCATCCACGTGAATATCCATGTGTGCTATGCGTGCTCTTCCCCAGGTTTTTGTTCTTTAGAATCCCCTTGAAATTAGTTGTTATTGTCAGAGGTCCACTGGTGATCCCCGATCGATCCTAGGGAAGGGTTACAGGCACATTTGCCTGGGGGGTTATGGGCGCACTGACCCGCTACTGAAACAAGCCCTTTTATCCCAATGGTCTAGTGGTTGGGATTCTGAGATGGTATCCAGAGCGAAGGTCTCGGGTTCGAATCCCGGTGTATGCACTTCGGGCATCCCAGTGCGGGGGGGTGTCAGAGGTCCACTGGTGATCCCCGATCGATCCTAGGGAAGGGTTACAGGCACATTTGCCTGGGGGGTTATGGGCGCACTGACCCGCTACTGAAACAAGCCCTTTTATCCCAATGGTCTAGTGGTTGGGATTCTGAGAGTTATTTTGCCTATGGTAATTGGGGTGAGGGTACCATGTGTTATATATATAAAAAATGTACGGTATGGAAAAAGGATCATGACATTTTTGGCCAGAAAATGGTGAGAGCAAGGGTAAGTGCGAGGGCAATTGCGTGGCTAAGTGTGTGGCTGTGTGTGTGGCGGAATGCGTTGGTGTGCAAGGGCGAGCGTGTGGCTGAGTGCGAGGGTGAGGTGAGGTGAAATAACTACCGGTATTTGACCTTGATACTAAATGTACACAGCCGACTCTTAGGACCACCTGAGTCTAGGTATCTTGAGAGGCCATTAGCCATGCCAGGATCAAGAAAGTTTCTAAAAAGTGTTGTCTACTGAAAGATATCCATAACCCACCAACATTTGTGAGGTTGTCCACCACAAAGAATGTATAAGCCAGAATTAGCCTTTTAGAGAAGTAACCAATAATGACCTAAACTTGCTAGAAATCACAACCCAGACTCCACGCAGTCCACTGTCATGCATAAGTGTACACTTGTTGGGCTGAGGCGCCCTAGGATCTTTGTAGAGTTAAAGTTCTGGGTAGAATGATGTAATAGCGGAAGCATTTTTGAATGAAGTCCTTGAACCACCTTGCGCTAGTATGTGAGGGCAAAGTAAGTTGTTTAAAACAAGCAAATACAAAGGTTTTATATAAGAGTACAAAGAATACAAAGAGATATAATTAAACTGTTTTACTATTGCGGTTCGATACAGTGCGACTCGGGCAACTGCTCAATGTCGAGTCAGTTGTGTGTCCTTGCTGTCGCGCTGCATTTTGTCAAGTCAAAGGTCGCTGACCTTTGACCTTCGCGTAACCCCCAGCGGTTACTTTAACCTCCAAGGGTTGACTCGCAGTGCTTCGATTTGAGCTGCTTCGCTTTGTGTCTTGAGTTTCGACACGACAGAGGCGCTTAAGACTTTTTGTTCCCAACACTCCCCTTCGCTTCTGGAGTGTCGCTGATGGTGACGTGGCTTTGTCCAGTCAGCAGCATGCAATGCTCGAACTTCTGTTTTCCGAGCTTCTTGGTCAAGTAGTTAGCTGCCATCTCGGTCGTGGAACAATAGGAGAGTTCGAGTTTCCCTTTCTTGATCTCGTCTTTCACGAGGAAATATCGCACGGCGATATGCTTTGTTCTGTTTGCGAATCCGCTCTTGTTGGCGATGCGAATCGCAGATTGGTTGTCGCAGAACAGAGTGAAGTTGGGTAACTCGGCTAACTTCGCTTCTTCCAGCAGCTCGCGAAGATAGAGTCCTTCCTTGGTGGCTGAGCAGAGGGCGATATATTCTGCTTCTGGTGAGGAGAGAGCGATTAGTTCCTGCTTACTCGATTGCCAGGAGATAGGTCCGATAGGTTCGAGACGGTAGATGTAGCCAGTGCGGGAGCGCCTGTTGTCTGAATCGCCGGCGTGATCGGCATCGACGTAGCCGATTAGTTTCGTCGGTGCAGTTTTACTCTTGTAGTATGTCAGGCCGATCGTCGAGGTGCTCACGAAGTAGTGTAGTGCGCGGTCGATCTCCGCCAGGTGTTCTGTTTTGGGTCTCTTGAGGTAGGTGGCGAGTTGAGTTGCGGAGTAGGACAGATCTGGGCGACAGGTGACGGCTGCAAAGAGAAGGAAGCCCAGCTTTCGTTGATAGTCGCGTATTCCGGCGGTTTTGAGTAGAGTGGAGCCGCCCTTGTCGTTCCCTGCCGTGTAGCGGTATGGCGTGGAGATAGTGGTAGGTGTGAGCGAGAAGCGCTTGGCGATAGTGTCGGCATATTCTTCGGCGCTGAGGTAGATCGCGTTCTCTTCTTCGCGGATGTTGAGTCCGAGATACTGAGTGACGGTAGAGGAGACCGTGAGTGTGAGGTCCCTCTTCAGCTCCCCTTCGAACCAGGTTGTGATGTCGTCAGTGGACCCAATGTAGAGTAGGTCGTCGACGTAGACGATCAGTAGGATGTAGTCGGCGTTTTTGGTGAGTCGATACATTCCTTGGTCGTGAGGCAGTTGGCGGAATCCGATGCGAGTGAGGCGAGTGTGTAGGTGTTGTTGCCACAGCCGTGGGGCTTGTTTGATTCGGTAGAGCGATTTCAGCAGCTGGCAAATCTGATTAGGTTTCCCGTGGGTACCGTGTGGAAGTTCGATGAAGATTTCGGCGTCGACGGGTGCGTAGAGGAACGCGTTGGCGACATCGATTTGTCGCAGTTTCTTCTTCTTCATGGCGGTGATCGCGAGAAGAATTCGGAGTGAGGTATGTCGGCTGACCGGGGCGAATGTCTCGGTGAAGTCCCGTCCGTGCTCCTGGTCGAATCCACGCACGACCCAGCGTGCTTTGAATTTCTCGATTGTGCCGTCTGCTTTCGTTTTGATGCGGAAGACCCATTTCCCGGTGAGTATGGTCTTGTTCCTTGCCACGCTTGCGGGAACGACTTTCCAGGTGTTGCGTTCCTCCAGCGCCTTTAATTCTCTGTCCATGGCTTCACGCCATTTCTCCCTATGTTCCCCCCCCAGAGCCTGCTGAACCGTCACAGGCTCTTTAGGAAGAGCATTGCCGTGGACTGCGGTGACGAGGCCGAGAATCTGCAGTCCAGTCTGTGAGTAGCGGGGGAGTGTTGTGTCCTCGGGATAAGCTGCTTCGTCTCCCGCTTCTGGGTCGGGTATGAAATTCGGCCCTATCCGTTCTGCTTCGTTGGTGTTGATTGTTGCAGGTGTTACGTAACCGTTGTCGGCGAAGTGGTAGAAGACTTCGGCGTTAACACTGTCGCGAGGATTTTCTTCGTCCATGGGGACGTTGACGGAGCAGAACGGTAGACGTCCGGCTTCTTCCGATGCGTTGTCGACGTTCTGCTCGTCCCAGTCTGCTTCGTCCGCTGCTGAGGCGAAGGCTCGGTCACCACGAAAGCCACCTGTGGGGTCCTGATTTTCGTGCAAGTTGGCGAGGTACGTCTGAAGCGTGAGTCGTTCGTAGAAGATCACGTCACGTGCTGCTACTGTTTCCTTGGAGTGGACGTCGAAGATTTTCCACGCGTTGTTATTCTTTTCGATGCCGAGGTGTAGTCCCCACTGTGCACGTTGTGAAAATCTTCCCGCTCCTGCTTCTGGGGGTCGGTACTGTACCATGCACCCGAAAACTCGTAACATTTTTGTGCTGCCCTGCTTCCTTGTCCACAGCAGATGCGGTGATGCGTTGTTCGGAAGTGAGGACGACGACAACAAGTTGTGCAGCATGACAACATGGTCCATTGCTGCAGGCCACTGGTGGTTGGGTAGCCGCATGCCACGTAGCAGTTTGCGCATGCTGTTCTGCAGAGTCCTGTTCATTCTTTCTGCGACACCTTGCTGCTGATGGGCGTAGGGAAGGGAGAGAAGCTGCTTGATTCCTCTTTCCGCCAGGTACTGCTTGAATCGCTGAGAGGTGTATTCTCCTCCTCCGTCTGACAAGAAGCTTTTCAGCTGTGAGAGTACGTCGGCTTATGCGTGTTATTCATGCTTGCTATTATTTCCTTACGCTATTCCTAGCTTAGGATTATTTTCTGCATGCATGAATTGCTTGATTTCCTAGGTTCGTTGCTATACTATAGTTATTATAGTTATAGGCACCGAACCAGGTTACGTGCACCAAACTCAAGCTATTCGGTCGCCACCGAATTGCTTTCTACCGAGTTCGGGAAGGTTCTGTTCGGGACGCTTCGCGACCCTCAGAACATTCGCGTAACACCTGGGTTACCTGCCTTGTGTCGAGCCTATATATAGCCTCATGTTGTACCCATGTGATCATTCAATTACAATTCTCTTTTCTGAGCTCGTTCCTAGATCCTCACACTTGGTATTAGAGCCTGTTCGAAGCGAAGTTTTTCTACCGCTAAAACCTAGCTTTTAAAACCGCGGGGGCGACGACGGAAAGCGCCGATTTCGGGGACGTAAACCAGTTCCGCGCTATTTTCTAACGTCCCCCTCGAACCGGTTTTCGAACACTCCTCAGGTCCAGTGGCGAAAAAGTTGGAATTTCGACCGTCGGATCGATTCGAATCTCAACGGCCCTGAGAATTTCGACCAAAAGGGTTGGAATTTGGAGCGTCGGATCGAATTTCTTCTCAACGGCCGAGATCGGACGCGAATTTCAATTAAGGAAGATTTACGCGACCTACAGAATCAGCGCTCGTCAATTCTACAGTCGATTCGACTCACAGTAAGATGACCAGCGCCTAGAATTCAATTTTTTTCGTCGCACATTTTCCTGTAAATCGCCAAATGGAGGAAAACGGTGATAATTCTGTACGAAAAATTACGGAGTTATGTCAGATGATTATATTGCTGATGCATATATTTAGGCTTTAGTGGGGTAGCCCATAGGGGGTACAACCCAATTAGGGTTGGTACTTGTACTCGTTTCATTTCATAGTGCATTCATTCCTCTCTCAACTCAACATGGTATAGAGCGGGTTCCCTGTGGGAACTTAGCCTAGGGCCCACCGAAGCGCGCCCCGAGGCGCGCCAACTCTTTTTCCTCCTCTCAC